CTGGATTTGTTTCTCTAGCCAACCTGGCCTAACACAAGTCTGAATTAGAACTCAATGTAAACAAGACTCAAATCCTCACAACTGACCCAGTAGGTAACATCATGATAAACAGAGAAAAGATTGAAATTGTCAAGGATTTTGTCTTGCTTGGGTCCCCAATCAATGCTCACGGAAGCAGCAGTCAAGAGATCAAGTCATGTGTTGCATTGTGTAAATATGCTGAACATGAACTCTTCAGTGTGTTGAAAAGCAGGGAGGCTACTTTGAGCCTTCAGTGCACCTGATTCAATCTCCTCCTATGCCCGTGTGTGTTTTCAATCTTCTCCTATTCATGGGAAAGTTGGACACTGAATAAGGAAGACCGTGCATTTGAATTGCGGCGCTGGCAAAGAATATTTAAAGTACCTTGGACTGCCAAAGGACACACAAAGCTGTCTTGGAAGAAGTGCAGCCAGAATGCTCCTTGAAAGCAAAGATGGTGAAACGTACTTCGGACGTGTTGTCTGGAGCGACCAGTCCCTGGAGAAGGACATCGTGTTTGGTAAAGGAGAGGGGCAGAGGAAAGAGGAAGACCCTCATGGAGATGGGCCGACACAGGAGCTGCCCCAGTAGCCTCAGGCACAGCAACAATGGTGAGGATGGGGCAGGACGGTGCAGGGTTCAGTTCTGTTGTGCACAGGGTCGCTATGGGTCGGATCCAACCCAGTGGCCATTTTGGGTGGGGGCAGAAGGAGAGGAGATATTATGCCCCTCCGAGGCTGAGTCAGAAGAGAGGGACCGGGAAGCCCCTGAAGAAGAAAATGAAACTAAATTCTGCTCATCCTTCCACCAGTGTGGTTTGGGGGCTAGGGAGAGGGTTCTGGAGTCACAAAGACCTGATTCATGGCCCGGAGCCCCGACACCTTAGGCCGGGCGCTTCATCTCTTTCTGCCTCCGTTTCCTCTTTCATGAGATGGCTCTAATGTATGAACTCCCACAGAGCAATGAGGACTAACACTCCGTCAGAGGCGTCGGCACAATGTCTGATATGTGGTCAGCACGTGCCGCCGCCAATTAGCAATGATAAATTCTCTTTTCAGAAGTAGTTCATGCCCACATCTTTGTTTAAGAGAGAAAGGAAAATAGATGCCCCTCGTGATTGTCCAATGGGTTTTTCCTCATAGTGACCATCTATAAGGTTTCTGAAACTCTCTACAACTTCAGTAGTGCAGACAGCCTCAGCTTTCTCCCACAGAGCGGCTGGTGGGTTTGAACCACCAGCCTTGCTTTTGGCAGCCCAGTGCCTATCCCACGTGCAGCTACAGTGGAATGGCGAAGAGTGGAGGAAGTGTCAGTGAGGCAGGTAGAGTAACAAATACCTGAGGTGGTGGTCAGAGAAGGGTCCCAGAAGGAGTGTGGAGTGGGATTCTGATGAGGGCATGGGGATGGCTCAGACCTCGGGGAAGGTAAGGAGTGGGTCAAGTTGGGAAGCAAGCAGAATGGAGTTCACAGGATTGGTCATTGACCGCTAGAGAAATAAGGAAGAGCTAAGCTAGGGGGCCTCAAATACAAAGGGAATTTCTAGGGAAAAAGTGGCAATTCAGCCATTGGTTCCGTGTCTGCTGGGTGCTAAGCATCTTACATGCAGCAGGCAATTTATTTAATCCTCACAGCATCCCTGGGAGCTAGCCTCACTGTGCCCGTGAAGACACCAAGGCCCAGAGAAGCCCATTAATCTGCCCTGTAATCGGCAGATTTGTCCATGCTGGTGTGGCTGAAGCTCTTCCTCATCCTGGCCCCTGCTCTTCCCAGAATGCTGGCTGGCTTCAGAGCAGCCTGGCTGGCTGTGGAGGGCGCCAACTTCAACAGCACTAAGCCTAACCTCAACTCGCATGATGGACATCCCAGAGCTCACTGAGTCCACCAGATCACCCTCTGCAGCTCTGAAGAGACCCCCAGGATTTCATAGACCACCTCGATGAAATGGCAGAATCCCAGAACAAGGACCTCAGTGGCTGCAGTCCTTCTGTTACTGAGAACTGTGGGTTCTCTGAGCAGGAGAGCGCAGTACGATCTTCCCGGACTGAAGCCCCCCTTGAATCCAGAGCATCCCATTTGCTGCAGTCTGAGCCCAAGGACCCACTGTTGGGAATACTTGTCTGGGATGGGTACCCCTACATAGGGAACAGGACTGCCAGGGGCTTGGGGCTCTCATGTGACTCCCAGGAGCATGCCTGGGCCCTCTCCACCCCTCACAATAGCAGAGAGCAGGCTGGACTTCCCACATACATTTTCCCCAGAGCAAAGGGCACCCTTCCTCTCCCCACCCCAGGGTGCTGTGACTGCACTCCCAAGCCCAGAGTGCGGCTGGCCAGCAGACAGTGAGAGCTGCATTGTGGTCCTGTGCCTTGACTTGATTCCTGCACACAGAGCCCGCAGAACTGCTCCACGGGGATTTCAAAGCTGCGACCTTCTGGACGCAGATGACCACGTCCTTTCTTCCGAGGTACCTCAGGGTGAGCGCAAAACCACCCGCCTTCCTGAGAGTAGTGGATTCTGAATGACGTGTGCCTGCAAAGGTCTGCCAGGCTGCCCATTTTGTGAGTAGCTGGTCCTGACTGAGGGCAACAGTCGCCCCAACCTCCGCTGTCCGGGGAGGGCTCTGCCGTTCTGCAGGCTCCTGCGGCTTCTCCCGGCGGGCGACTTTCTGCCTCCCTGCGGCCGCACCTGCTGCATCCATTCCCCTGCGAAGCCAGCGCTCCGGCCGGGTAAGCGGGGTGGGGGGGCAGAGCTGGAGCCGGGGGCGCGCAGGCCCGAGAACGGTGGCGAGGGGCTGCAGAACTCGTCTGGCCGCCGGGTAAGCACCTCGCGCGCGGCCGGGCCCTCCTCCGCCTCGGACGGCTCCTAGCGCTCGTCTTCTCGCCCACTTGCTTAGGATGGTGGGAGCTTCGGATGCGCTCCTGGACTTCTGCCCTCTCAGCCTCCCAGGGGTCCCTGACCCCGGCTCGGCTGCACCCCAGCGCAGCTTCGGGTTAGTAAGTTGGGCTCTGCCAAATCTTGCGGTACTTTCCTCCGGGGGCGGGGGCCGGGGACGAAGCTCA